TGTATGTATAGGCTGGTCACAAGAAAGTGCCCCTTTTATTTATAGGCAGGTTGAATATGCACCCCTATAACTCCACTACTTGAGAGGGAAAGGGAGGAGGATCAGAAGTTCAAGGCCCGGACTGGAGAGATGGCTCAGAGGTTAAGAGCATTGCCCGTTCTTCCAAAAGTCCTTGATGGAAGAAGGTCATTGGTTAATTAATAAAGAAACTGCTTGGCCCTGATAGGTTAGAACATAGGTGGGTGGAGTAAACAGAACAGAATGCTGGGAGGAAGAGGAAGTGAGCTCAGACGCCATGCTCCCCTCTCCCAGGCAGACATAATTAAGCTCTGACCCAGGATGGATGTAGGCTAGAATCTTCTGGGTAAGTGCACCTTGGTGCTACACACATTAATGGGCCAGGCAGTGTTTAAATGAATACAGTTTGTGTGTTGTTATTTTGGGGTATAAGCTAGCCAGGCAGCCAGGAACCGGGCGGCAGGAATGCAACCCGCAGCTCCTTCAACAGGTCCTGAGTTCCCAGCGACCACATGGTGGCTCACAACCATCTGTAATGGGGTCTGGTGCCCTCTTCTGGCGTGCAGGCATGCACACAGACAGAATATTGTAAACATAATAAATAAATAAATATTTTAAAAAAAGAAGTTCAAGGCCAGTGCTGGCTACATAGCAAATCTGAGGTAGTCTTTGCTACAGAATACCCTGTCTCAAACAAGTCTGCTTGATGGCACACACCTGTTATCGCCAGTGTCTACAGAGGCTGAGGCAGAAAGATTAAAAATTCAAACCTGAAAGGACTAGGGACTGAGTCTCTTGGACAGCTTTGTGAGATCCTGCCTCAACATAAAAGTTAAAAGACTGAAGATGTAGCCCAGTGGGAGAGAGCTTGCCTCTACCACTCCAGCACCAAAAAGCAAACAGCCTTAAAACAATCAATTTGTGAACTATGCCTTACTCAAAATTACATTATTTAAATTTATTTTTTTAAAATATTTATTTATTTATTATGTATACAATATTCTGTCTGTGTGTATGCCTGTAGGCCAGAAGAGGGCACCAGACTTCATTCCAGATGGTTGTGAGCCACCATGTGGTTGCCGGGAATTGAACTCAGGACCTTTGGAAGAGCAGGCAATGCTCTTAACCACTGAGCCATCTCTCCAGCCCCCACATTATTTAAATTTAAATTTATTGCGTCTCCCACCTCCTCCTTGCTCTTGCTTTCCGAGGCATGGTTTCGCTGTTTCCCATGCTGCCTTTGAGTAGCCCAGGCTAGCCTGTAACTCACTTCACAGATCAATCTGGCCTCAACTTTTCCAATTCTTCGGTCTCTTCCTCTTAAATGCTGGGATTATGCCATGCCCGGCTAATCTTACAAATTTATAGAAATAGGGTTATCGTGCAACTTTCCATCAAATATCTGGTGCACTATACACTAAATGTCTTGACTGGTTCCTGGTGCTCTAGGATTCTGAGTCAAAAGCCAGCATCACCGCTTCTCGTTCTTTCCTCCTGATTGGCTGCCTTTCTGGCCAATGGCAGAAGATTCCATCCTTTGCTGTATTCTCCGGTAGCTTCAGCAAGCTGTGACTTTCCTTGCTCTTCTGGAAGGCGGCGCTGTAGGATCATCGACTTCTAGCTCATGCTCGACCCTGGTCGTTACCCTCTCTTTAATTCTCCGGAATGAAGACTATGTCCCAGCGTCCCTAATTTGTCTGAAAACTTTTGTGTTTTTTTTTTCTTTCTTCCTTTCTTTTGCCTAGCCATCTCTGCGATACGCGTCCAGATCTGAAGCCCTGAACGGATGGTCCCTAGCACTCCAGTTGCTGTGACCTCCAGCTATTTGGGCCTGCAGGGCCATGCTTGGGAAATCTTGAGAGAGATCCAAGCCGGCAGCGCACTCTTCTCTCTGTCAGCTAATTGTTTAGTCGGCTGTTTGTTTATCCTGGAGAGGAGGGGAGCTGGGTTCGCGGGGGTGGCTGCCCCCAGGGAAGCCTGTTTCCTGTCGTCGGCTTACTCAGCTCCTTCTTAAGCACTGGAAAGAATTACAGAGCTGGGAAGGCCCTCCCTTAAGGTACCTTCACCCAACAACAACAACAAAGCACTTTCTGAGCCCCTTCCTTTTGCTTAGACCTTTTAGAGACATTGATGGCGATTGTGGGAGCACAGGAAAGAATTAAGAGACAGGAATGACTCAGGGTGGTCCAGGGACTTTAGGATCCTAGAGGGGCCACCTGACCCAGCCTGAGGGGACATCTGAAAGTAGGAGTGAGCAGACAAGGACTTCATCTTTTTGACTACCATGAGATTGAATGTTAACTATCCCTTTTGTTTAACATTCAATTAACTACACACACACACACACACACACACACACACACACTGGTCTCATGTAGCCTGTACTGGTCTGGAACTCACAGTGTAGCTATGGTTGACCTTGAACTTCTGATGCCCTTGCCTGTATTTCAGGCGTGTGCCACCATACCGGGTTATGTGATGCTGGTGACTGAACCCAGAACATGCTAGGCAGGCACTCTAGCAGCTGAACTGCATCCTTTGCCAGCATACACATTTTATTAAAGACCAGGATCAGACCACATTTGTTAGGCCACTCTGAGGAAGTGACTTCAACTTGAGACTTGAAGAAAAGGTGACAAACTCCAACAAGGAAAAACACAAGTTGAGAGTGAGACATTGTCTGTTCACATGTTTCCCAAGACTGAGAGGGTTTGGAAGGATTATTGTATGTGAGTGGGTGGTTTGCCTGCATGTATATCTGTGCCCCACATTCAGGCTTGGAGCTAGTGGAGGCTAGAAGAGGGTATCAGAGCCCCTGGAACTGTACTGACATTGTGAGTCACCACGTGGGTTCTGGGACTCGAACTCAGGTTCTCTGGAAGAGCACCCAGTACTCTTAACCACTGTGCCATTTCTCCAGCCCTGGAAGGGTGTTAGTTTTCTGAACTCTGTTGTGGTAGTGCATGCACTCATGTGAAAAATAGGATTTGTTTGTTTTTCTATCCAGGGTAGTTAGGCCAACAAGGGCCCATATCTCCTGAACTTTCCCCTTTCCCCAGTTGATTGGTCAATCATGTCAGATTGAGTTGAGTTCCCATAAATGGGATAAGACAAAGTCACTTCCATCAGAAACAAAAAACCAAAGCTCTGTGTGCTCAAGAACTGGCTTTGGGTTTTGGCACAAGAGCACGCATGCACGCACACACAAATTGTAGAAATTTGTGTTTAATTGCATGGATGGTTTGCTTGCGTCTCTGCTGTTCCTGGAGAGGCCAGAAGAGGGCACCAGTTTCCCTGGAACTAGAGTTTCAGGCAGTTGTGAAGTGCAGCCAGTGGTCTTAATCTCTGACCCAGCTTTACACCTCCCTGCAAGCACTGTTTTTGCAAAATTAATGATGATGATGATAATAAAGTGTCTTGATGTTTTTTTCTTGTGTTCCCTTGTGCTGTACCAACATCACTCTTTTCCAACACTCAAGAGGCAGAGGATGCCACACACTCAATTCCAGTCTGAGCTACATAGTAAATTCCAGGGCAACCACGGATTCCTAGTGAGAAAAATTTCAATGGAAATTATCTTTATTTTTACTTACTTTGAGATATTCTGTGGTGAGGATGAAAACCAGGACCTTGTGTATGTAAGCAAGCATTCTACAAACAAGTTCTATCCTCAGCCTCAGGTAAGGATGTTTTATTTTTTATTATGTGTCTGTGTGAGGCCCGGGAGGCCACAGCCTCGGCTTCCTCTGGAGCGAAAGTTGCATGTGGTAGTGAACTGCCTGATGTGGGTGCTGGGAACTGAACTTGGGTCTATCTGCAAGAGAAGGACCCATTCTTTACTGCTGATCTCTCCAGCCCACAATACCAGAACCCGCCCTTCTAACTTGAAAACTGTAATGAAAGGCCTCATGTAATCTTGTTTAACAATGCTTACTGAGTACTTAATATGTGGAAGCCATTTCCCCTACGTCACCCCCTATACATTTAGACACTGTAGTCCCCCTCTAACTCCCATGTTGCTTTTTGATGTTTCAGTTATCCATGGCCAAGAGGGAGATATTAAATACCCGCCTTGACTCCAAAGAGATCATCTTCACATTGCTCTCGTTACAACACAATATATTCATAGTCGTTTTATTATTGCTGTGTTAATCCCTTGCTGAGAGTAACTCTTCAGCTATTATAGATGTTAATGTATGGGGGAAATCCCCTACATTTTACAGGGTTCTAGTGATTGGAGGATCCTCCTGGGAATCATGGCCTTGGGGACCATAACACCTCATTCGACTCTCCCAGCGACCCTTTGAGTTGGGTACTATTATTCGACTTTACAGGTGAAAACACTGGAAAGAAGCGCAGTGTTGAATCGGAAACACGTGTTCTTCATGCATTCCACACACCGTTCGGGCGCAGGGAAAGCCTGTCTTTCACAATCCATTCTTCTGGAGGACTCCCAGAGGAAGAGGTGTGGGGGGATCCTCTCACATCAGCACTTTATGCCAGAAAGCACCCAAAGTGACATGTGGTTTGTTGTCATTTGCTCGATGCGACCTGGAGGCTAGGGCTGCAACGCAGGGCCTGTCCTCCCTCTGCCCGGGACCAAGCGCTGGGTGAAATCACCAGTAACCTGTATCAACGCGCCAGGCCCACAGGTTTTTCTTCAGCGCCCGGGAAAGAGCACGTGCCCTCTGTCCCCGCCCACTCTTCCGGGCCGACCAACTGCGAGGCCCAGATTGGACTGCAGCGGACCACGCCCCCTTCCCCCGCCCAATCTGCTCCCTCGCTGGGTACGCTCCCTTCTTCACAGCCCCGCCTCGCCACCCCACGTTACGTTCACCCCGTCCCCCCCCCCCCTCCGTTATCCCGAGGCTGAGGCTTGACGAGGCGAACCCACCTCCTCCTGCCACCCATTGGCTGCTGAGGTCCCGCGCGAGCGGGACAGAGCCCTAGGTACCCGCCCTCAGGAGCCGGGCCATGCCTCTCAGAGCTGGCTTTCTCCAGAAGCCGGAGTGGGGTGGCGTGTGTGGGGAGGGGTGGAGGGCATCTGCGGCCTGGAGCGCGCAACGCCGTGCGCGCCCCTCGCGGGCCCTCCCTTTGGTTGCTTGGCAGGCTGCAGCCGTCTCTGCGCACGCGCACGAAGCCCACCCCCGCGCCCTCCTGAGCCGGTTCGCGGTTGTCCTCGCGCTGTGACTCTGGCGCCGCAGCTGCTGGGCAAAGCGGCGTTTCCCTCGGGCGCGCACGCGCACTCGGCGCCCTTCGTGCCCGCGCGTGCTTGTCTTCTCGGGCCACCGTGCGCGGCGTGCGTGTCCCTGTCGGGCCGTTACCCACCGTCCAGCCCCCAGCCCCAACGCCACTGGTACCTCAGACACGCACGCGCACTAACGAGAGGGTCTTAAGGCGCGCGCACGGCCGCGGCGGCCGCAGGGAGGTGTCGCAGCGCCGCAGCCGCCGCCGCCGCCGCCGCCGCCGCCATTGCGCGGGAGGGAGGAGGGAGCGAGCGAGGCTGGTCAGCCCTCCCCCTAGTTCCCGCCCCTCCCCCTTCCCCTCCCCGCCCCCCGCCCCGAGGGAGAGCCGCGGCGCGGCGGGAGGAGGAGGAGGCGGAGGAGGGAGCCCGCGAGGGAGGGTCCGCCCGGCCCCCCGCCGCCGGAGCCGCCGCCGCCGCCGCTACAGCCGCCTCAGGAACGAGTCGCCAGGGGAACATGGCGCCGGGCCCGCCGTCGCTGCGGCTGGGATCGCGGAGGCCGGGGCCGCGCTGAGGGCGCCCCCGAGGCTGGTAAGTGCCGCGGAGCTGGCGGAGGGGAATGTGGGGACGGGCGAGGCGCCGGGCGCCGCCCCGCTGCGGGATCCAAGGGTGGGGGGAAAGGCGGGGACCGCGGGGCCCGGAGCCCGCGAACAATGGAGGAGCCGGAGGGGGAGGGGAGGGAGCGCCCCCCCCCCCCAGCGCCCCGCGGTCCCCGCGTCCTGGCCGCTGCATGCCCGGGCCCGGCCCGCGCGACTCGCATTGCCTTTCCTATTCGCCACTGTCCCTGCAGCCCTGCAATCCCGGCGTCTGCCTCCACACGCCCCACCACGACCCGATGGGGAATCTCGGTGTCTCTCAGCTTCCACTCGAGACATCCGACTCCCAATTCTGAGCCGTCTCCTTTCCCACTTCCTCCCCCCCCCCCCCCCACTCCCCAGTCATACCCTTGGCTGCCTCCTGGAGTGGGCTCTGCTCCTGGGACGATCTACCTCCTCACTGACCCCTCTGTCTCCCTTCTGGCGCCCACTTTGGACATCCGTGTCCCCCTACCTTATCTGCTTTCTATTAGCATCACTTTTGGGGTGAGGTCACCGTCCTCCTCCTTTGGCCTGTCTGCTGTTATTATTCTTGACTTAGAACCTCTTCCCTCCCCAGGAGCTGTCCCCTTAGAACCTGTGGTTCCACCTCTGTGGAGACCCATGCTAAACCTCTGTTGGTGAAGGCACTGCTGCCCTCTGGTCTTTTCTTTGGACATAATACCTCCTCTCACTTGGGCCCAACTGCCCCACATTTCTGCCCTGGTCGTAGCACGGAACCTGCTCTGCTGTGCCTCCTTGGGATGCCCCTAGGCTTCTTCTCCAGCCTTTCTCGGACTCAAATACTCGGTACTTGCTTGCTTCCTTCCTTCCCTTTTCAGTGCCCCCCCCCCCCCCCCCCCCGCGTTTGTCTTTCAGACCCTGTCTTCTTTTCCAGATCCTTCTACCTGCCGATTCTGCCCCTTGCCTTGCATGCACTCTCCTGCAGCGCCTGGCATTCAGCCTCTTTTTCCCCCTTTCCTGTCCCTCAGGGTATCTCATTTCTGCCATTCCCTTTAGCAGACCTCTGCCCTAACCCTAACTCCATCTTAGTTGTGCCTTGCCTCTGCTCCTCTGTTTTGTGTTTCCCCTCTTTCTTACCTTTATTTCAGTGCTCCTCTGCTCTGCTCCATTCATCCCTCTCCCCCCTTAGCCTGTTGTCTCTAGTAAGTTACTCTCCATCTAGGACTTGCTGCTGCATCTTCTTGCTACTGCTGTGCCTCTGTTCCTCAGATGGCTCTGACCCTTAACACTTGCCATTCTGTATTTCCTTGGCTTACCTTTTTTCCACTGGCTTTCCCCCTCTTTCTGTTTAGTAGGTGCCCCCTCCTCACAGCTTCCTTTTGGAGCTGTCCATTTGCATATTTTGACCCATTTTTAGTTTTACTATTGCTGTCCCTGTCAAAGTGATCAATCTTTAACACTGATCTCTTGTGTCCCACCTTTGGTCCCTTTCAATTCTAAGCCCCACCCCACCCCCGTTCAGCCTCTCACCGCACTTTTCTTTTTCTCCATTTGCTGTCCTTATTTTGCTTTGCCTCTTACCTCTTTTTAAGCCCTCATTTCTTTAGTTCTAACCTGAAGGTATTAATCATTCCTTTCTTATTTGTCTTTACTTTCTTGGAGCCTTCAAGTTCTTGCACAGATGCTCATTTTCTCTTGATGTCTCTTTCCCGTTCCTTTCCTCTTTGGCTTCTTGCCTTCCTCCCTCGTGTCTTTCTGCCTTTTATCCTCATGCTCTATCAGGCTCCTTTTCTAACACTTATTATCACTCCTGCTTCTTGGGGCTTCTTACCCTTGCCAACAGGTTCCCCATTGAGGATATCCCCTTTTAGGTCTGTCTCTACCTGTTATGCTTCTCTCAGCATTTGCCAGGGTTGGCTGAGACCAGGTTCTCTAGGCACTGGTCCAAAGAATTGCAGATTCTGTGTGGAGCCCCGAGTGTTTCCAGTTTTATTCCCAAAGTTCTCCTGAGATCTGCTGTAAGAGGTAGGGATAGATAGGATTGCAACTCTGCAGTTTGGGGGCATCTATCTCCCCATTTCTCTGATTCGTACCAAGGTTAGTGATGGTGGGTAGTACTCAGCCATTGCCCATTTTTCCCCTCTGTGCTCTCTTTGCTCCCTCTCTAGTCCTCAGACCTTTGTGTCCTTGGGAAAGAGGACTACAAGCTGCTCTTGACTCTTTATTCTCACTTTTCTCCTTGCCTGTTTGAGCAGTTGTAGACTCTCAGTTGTACTTTCAACCCTCTTCCATCTCCACACCAGCACCCCTGGGGAGTATTTAGGGGTATGCTTCTTTGTCGCCCCCCCCCCCCAGCTGAAAAGTCATAATCTTGTTTTTACTCCAGGCTAGGGAAATGCCAGTTCTCAAATTCTGCAGGTCCCAGGGGGTGTTGTGGCCACACTTGGTGTTTACTGCTTTGGGCTTCGGAGCAGCCTTCTTGCCGTCCCTCCTGGCCTTTGGTTAATGCCTTGACCTTGAGGGTGTGCCTAGACCCAGTGGGTTTCTTTTTCCTTTTTCACCTCTGCCCCCTAGAAGACTCCAGCTTCCTGGTCTTCAAAATGGTGGTGGTGGTGGTGGGGGGGCTGGGTATGGAAAGCACTTTGTGGTGGTTGTTGTTGTTGAGAGAAAGTGCTAAGTGTCTTCAGATTTCTGCCTTTTGGTGTTGCCAGCAGGCACTCCCAGCCACAGGAGCCCAGTAGTCCTGGGCAGATCCATGTTGGATTACTGGGCTCTTGAGGAACCAGGAGCAGGAGCCAGAGGGTGAGTTCTGACATCCCCCAGACATGAGGGAACTGGATGGGTAGTGTTGGAGAGGGCTGCAAAAACTGGCTGATGTAAGTAGATTTGGGGTTGATGTCTGTGAGCTGTGGCTTTCCTACCCTGTGTTCCTCAAGTTCCTCAATGATTTTGTGATGGGTTTAGAAAATTCATTCTTTCAATAAAGAGCCATTTGACCACAATCTTTTTTAACTTGGGAGGGAGGACCTTTTGTAGGTTTATTTATTTTATTTCTTAAGTAAATCTAAGTCAAAAGCCCATTTTTATTGTTTTTGTTTTTTAACCTCCCTGTGGTCCAGGGTAGTTGCAAATTAAAACAGCTATCCAGCTGTGAAGGCACATTTACTGGAAGGTCTTTCTTTCTTAACTGAGCTATGATCAGACTGTTTATTTCAGCACCTGCTTAGAAATAGTTCTGTGTGAACACATTTGAAATAAAAAACCTTCACTGTCATCTACAGAATTAGACTATTGACTCATCCAGTGTTGGGGCATTTGTGTACAAGAACATGGAGGGGGCTGTACAATAGATCTGTGTGGCTCTTCTACCTTTTTAGAACTGTAAGTTTTCTGGGTCTGGGTCTTTTTCTTCTCAGTTGTGTGCCACGATCGGAAGTCAGTATCATGTTCTGCCCCTAACTGAGCTACAGGACTTTAAACTCTGACAAGGAGAGTGGGGATTTTGATGCTGTGTAGCACTTTGGTCTGTTTCCAGTGGTGCGTCTTTGGCCTTGTGTCACAATCTCCTGAATTTATTTTAGAGTTTGTATTCTCCATGTCAGTACAAACATTTAGTTGTTTTTTCATTCCTAATGTGACGGTGACACAATTAAGAATAGGAACAACTATATGGGCAGCTACAGTGTGTGTTTCCTAACACTGTCAGCCTAAAACATTCTACATCCTCAAAGCTGGAGTTCACGTAATAGGAAGAGGAGAGTCAGAAAGAATGAAGAGCTGGTCTTTCTCCTAAACTGGGACTAATGTTCCAAAGACAGTCAGATTTCTCTCATGGTAGTGGAGACTCCAATCCCGGAATTGACGTTTGCTTTCGTGATGGAATTGGGTGCTACAGAAATGTGAGGTGGTAACCTTGGCCTTCTGGAACAGTTTCTATGCCAGTTGGGGTGGTGTGTGAAGCAAGAGACAGCAGCAGACGACTTTTTTCAATGTACTAGCATGTCTTCAAGGGCTCTCAACCCTGTCTAAATTTTTAGAACTAGCCTTTCTTAGCCCCTCCCCCTATCTTTAAAACTAACCTTTCTTTGTACTTATGTCTTTTCTCCCTTGCCCATTACCTCCTTATTTAATTGGACCAAAGATGCCTCAGGATAAATAAGTCAGAAACTCATTTCTCTTCATACCAGATGGATAGGTGTAGGTATCTGGCTCGAACGGTGACTTGGAAAAGGACAGTCTGGGAAGGGTGCAGGTTACACAGCTAATGGAGAGCCATAGCCTCATGACTGTATCTATGTGGTCAGTCTTCCAGAGATGATAGAGCAGATCAGGTCCTCATAGCTGGAGGTGGGCAGTCTAACTAGATTGCTTTTCAATCCTTGGTCTGAGGCAGTCTCCTGAAGTGTTAGACCTCTTGCAACCCTTCTTGTGATCTCCTAGGAATGTTGTCATTTACTACCTACCTGGCAAACTAAACAGTGCTTTTGGTCATTTATTTTATTTTATTTTATTTTATTTTATTTTTGAGGCAGGATCTCACATAGCCCAGGCAGGCCTCTAGTTGAGTATGTAGCTGATGGTTGATTTCAAGTCATCCTTTTGTCTGTATCTGAAACTCTGGGATATCAGATATGCACTACCACATCTGGTATAATTTATCCAGTCTGTGTGACATTTGATCAATCATTTATTTCACTTATTTACATTTTTCGTCTTTCATAAACCCCAAGATTCATTGCCTGAAGAGGGAAGACATCTAGCAGAAAAGTCTTCTTGGGTCCTGGAGTTTGGTGGAACCTAGTTTGAAAATCTGTTTGCAGGTGGGGAAATGAAAGGCTTGCTTCTGCCATATTAGAAAAACATTGGACACAGGAGAGGGGCCTGCCTTCTGTCTGGGCCTTGTCCTAATTAATTAGTACTGGGGAGAGCTTGCTTCTCCACTAGGCTGGACAATACTCTCCGAAGTCCAGTCCTCTTGTAGACTCCATTCAG